TATGCAGAAAGAACAGTTTATTATAGCTACTTACCCTCATATTTAATTAATTTAATAAAAAATCAGAGTAATAGTATCCAATTTTAATCATACTGTATTGATAATATCCATGTGCATTATGTTTTAATTGATTACAATTTAGTTAGCTATTTAATATATAAATTTGTATTTTATTTATTCTTTAAGAGCTTCACTTGAGAAAAGATGTTTTACTGGATAATGCAAAGTTGCTGAAAAATAATCAAGAAACTGGAAGCTGATAGTTACTGCATAAAAAGAAAATTTTTACAACCATCACCAGGTTTGATGCACATCCAACACTAAAATAGCAAAAAGAATATTTATTTGATCTGTCAGATTTCTGTAGGAAATTAATGCAAGTGGTTTTTATAATGATATTGATAATATTATTAATAAACCTGTATTAATTCCTGTTTTACTTAACTTTATAATACCATACATTGAATCGTTAGAACATTCATGAGGTAAAAACTGTCAGGGTCCCATCAAAATGTTGTACTCTAGTCAGGGACCATAAATTCTTGCAAATACCGGTACTACAAGAGAGTGTATGAACAACAGATATCAATGCTTATGTACAGGAGGTATTTATTACCTGCACAGTATGTACAATAATTTCATGTATAGGCCTATAATAATTTTATTGTTGTAATGTATGTAATATAACAAATTTTAATTACTGTACTGTATTTGGTTCCAGTTGCTAGACACCAAAACAATTAAAAAGTATTGCAGCAATGTGTACTGTACATTTCTTTTTTCACGTTGGCTGCCAGCGACGAGTACACTTGTCCCACAGGGTGTTGCTAATGGCGCTAGGGTCGACTGTACTCGTCGAAATCGGGGTAACATTCTAACGTTTATTACTTCTTTGTTATACATCGTAGAACCAGACTTAACAGCTGGTAGTTCAGGGAAGGTACACATAGACGATAACGTACAAACAGATGTATGTTTGTTGTGTAATATCTTACCGGCAGTATACTCGATTGCACGAATGGGGGCACCCTCTGAATATATACCCATGCAAAAAAGAGGACGAGAAATCTCGCACTTGGCAGACAATTAAAATTTTACTCTTTACTTTTACCCCTAATATTTTCCTGCCAATATGTCACACCATTTTGATATTTGACTAGATAGAATTTCAAAGAAGAATGTACTGTACTCGCGTGAATAAGCGCCTGCCGGCGCTTACTCTTTTAGAGAAGCGCTTATGAAAACAGAGTGGAAATTGAGGGGGCGCTTATGGAAATGGGTGAAAATTGAAGGTATGTTCATGGGAAATTGGAAAATTCAAGTGGCACTCTTTTTTTAATCGAAGATAAACGAATAGTTTTGGTGAAGAAAAGGTAATCGTCGAGAGAGCATTGCCGCTCATGACAAGAATGTTGGGGGTGTTTACACAACAGCAGAATGAAATTAGTGGTGTGGTAAGCATGTTGGCCATCTGCAAATTCGGATTAGCAGGATCATTGCAAGGTTTCTTGCTTAGATACGAGATTGATGAGGTCAGTTTATTTTTGTTGACTGAAAATGGCCATACAGTATTTTAATTTTAGATATTAAATACTGTACTTCTAAATCCAAAAAGGATAGCAATAAAACAAGAACAAGATTCTAAATATGCATCAAAACTTAAAACCATGTTAAACTTAATGGAGACGGATAGACCGATCGACAATACTTAGATGACGAATAGTTGATGCAGAAAATTAAGTTGGTGATGTACTGTACTGTACCACAGGATTGAATTTTTTTAGGAATCGAGGGGGCGCTCATTCAAAGGGGGCGCTTTAGACAATTTTCACGTTAGGAGTGGGGGAGGGGACGCTTATTCGCACGATAATGTCGGGTATAGGCCCTAGGCCTAATTGTTTTGTCAGTCAATGTGCTAAAATGTTTCATCTTACAAATACCATCTAGCCTAGGCCTATTATTGTGAATGAGAGGTAGGCCTAGGGCCTAAATGGAGGGACTGTTATTAATTAATTGAAAGTTATTGCAGGTAGGCCTATAGGCCCTAGCCTAGCCATATTGAAAAAAGTTCATAATAAATTACAGTACTGCTCTATAATACACTAGGCTACAGTACAGAAAGAAAAAAATACTGTACTCGATTTCGATTCATGATTTGTTTAGGTTTCAAATAAGTAGGCTAGGCAATAGAGAATAGTAGTATAGGCCTAACATAATGTGCTTCGACATTATTGATTTGATTGTTTGAATATTGTACTTTGCAAAATGCAAGAAATCTCTTTTGCTGTAATGGTGGCTCTGAAAAGAGCCGTTTGGTTTGGGGTTGATGCTGCAGACAGTACTAAGCCTACTTCGAGCTAGTGTACTTGGTGACGGCCTTTGTACCTTCACTGACAGCATGTTTTGCAAGTTCACCAGGCAGAAGTAAACGGACAGCAGTCTGCACTTCACGGCTACTAATCGTGGACCTTTTGTTGTAATGGGCCAGGCGAGACGCCTCTGCAGCAATACGTTCAAATACATCGTTAACAAAGCTGTTCATGATTGACATGGCACGGCTTGAAATACCGGTGTCTGGATGTACTTGCTTCAGCACTTTGTAGACGTAGATACTGTAGCTTTCCCTTCGCTTTCGTCTGCGTTTTATAGCTGCACGACGTCGTCCTTTTCCAGCTTTCTTCATGCCCTTACCAGACTTCACAGGACTCTTCCTCGGACTCTTCTTTGGACTCTTTGGTGGCATCTTACTACTTGTTCAGAACTTCTTGAAACAGGAACAAATTGTGCTTGATCAGTCGAAAGACGGAGTATTTATAGATGTACTATGCAAATTAGGCTTACTACCTAGATCAACTTTTGACCAATGAAAATACAATAACCTTCTCATTGGCTTATACATTGCAAATAGGATTGGTTAAAATAATTTGACTGGTCAATCCCTTCATATAAGTTGATTGGTCGAAAGTACGCGTTTTCTTCTCTGGTTGGCTAAAAATGCAATTGACAATTTCATTGGTTGTTGGCAAGCTAGAGGTTGAGCCGCTACGAGCCTATAAAATGAGGAGAGACCGTGAACGCGGAGCACTGAACAGAAAATACTTCGTTGGAACACAAAGAGAGCTAACCTAGCCTAGTCTGATCACTACAATGTCGGGAAGAGGTAAAGGAAAAGGCGGGAAGCGTAAAAGTTCGAGGAGTAGGTCTGGCCGAGCTGGGCTTCAATTCCCGGTAGGCCGTGTACATCGTTTCCTTCGAAAAGGAAGTTATGCCAAACGTATCGGTGCTGGAGCCCCTGTTTATCTTGCAGCGGTTCTCGAGTATCTGACGGCCGAAATTTTGGAGTTGGCTGGAAACGCAGCAAGAGACAACAAGAAGGCGAGAATAATTCCACGTCATCTTCAGCTAGCAATCCGTAACGACGACGAGCTGAACAGATTACTTGGAGGGGTCACAATTGCACAAGGAGGCGTACTTCCCAACATCCAAGCTGTGCTTTTGCCGAAGAAGAAGAATAAATAGGCTTAGCCTTCCTACACATTACAATCCAAAACAAACGGCTCTTTTCAGAGCCACCACATTAATAAAAGATATTTGATAGAACGTTTCTACTGAACTGTATGTACTACTCGGCAGGCCCTAGCATATTACATACAAGGCTGAGGCTAGGGCCTGACTACTAGGCCTAGGCCTATATTCCATTAATACTAACTAACGTGGCTAGGCCTAGCTTGGCTAAGCACTGGCCATAAACTATAAACTAGGCCTACTAGGCCTAGGCTAGCTAGGAAACATTACTGTGATGAAAGGACCACTGAGGGTGGTCCTTTCGTCAGCACCGAGTATTCTGTGATACTGTACCATGACCAGTATATCTATTCGAATAAATTCCCCCCCCCCCCCTTTCTACCTACTCAATCTTGGCCTAGAGCCTCGCTCTTGGGAGTGGGATAAACTCCTCACGAGGCGTATATTTTTTACTCGAATCGCCAGCCCTTCCACATCCCCCCACCCCCCACAAAAAAAGAAAAGAATGATGAATCAGATGGAAACATCATCCTCGTAGATACGTATTCATTTCACACACACCAACCCACTAAAACAAAAACGCCTCCCTCGAAAAAAAATCTCAACAACCAAACAAAAAAAACACCAACCATTCCTTCCCAACAATAAACGAAATAAATGCAATGTTGAATATTAAAGGTCGAAAACCAAATAAAATCACAACATCATTTTGATTCCTTAATCCTAAAAATTAAAATATTACAATAAACAATACAGTACAATAATAATATCACGAATTTATATAGCGCCAATTCCAAACAAGATCAAAGACGCAACGCATGTGAAAAGCCACCGGAAAACAAATTATGTGGGGGGGTTGGGGTGGCTTGGACTAGCTGACAAGATAAGAAATTTTGTATTGTCAACAATAAATACAATAGAACCCATTTTATTAAGATAAAAAAGACTAACCAAATACGTGGAATTGTCCCCTTAATAGGGGTTTTTGGCATGTTTACAATGATAACATTTATTCTATTGACCTAAGAATGAGTTACAGTTGAATTTTAAATAATTAATAACAATTTTCAATGCAAAAAATAATTCATTTATGATATGAATCATATGATATTATTATCATGATATTATTTATGGTTTCACCTTTTTGAGAAATGTTACCGAGTTTGTTTTCTCCTGCGCCTTTGATAAATTTTTGAATTGACGCTATATAAGGCCCTATAAAAAATATTATTAGTTTATCACCCTATGTGGGCAGGAAAAGTGATAAGGGAGGGAGGCTTTTTTTTAAAATTTTTATTTTGCTAAAGCCAAATATAACCCTTGATTTGTTTGCTGGTGCATTGATATTCAAAGTAAAAAAATACAATAAAATGTGTCCCCTCTTAATATAAAGGGTTAAATTTTATTTATTTGACCATTTTGCACATTCAAAATGTGTCCCCGTCAAAGCTAGAATGATGATATATTGTATTTTAAAATGAAACTTGAACTTTAACTTAATAAGGGTTGGCCGACGTGATATATTTCCAGTGTTTTAAAGTGTCCCATGAATAGGGGTGTTCTCTGCATAGGGGTGTCCCAAAAGAGTGGTTCTTCTAAATGTTTTGATTCCTTTCCGTAATTTTTATTTTGCTAGTAAGTTTGAGAAATATAAACGAATACGCCATAAGTGGAATTTACAAATAGCAAAAAGCTGAGTAACCGCCCTCAACCGCGAGTGCACAAGAAGGAATTAGAAGCAGAGGGCCAACGGACTACCGATTGTAAAAAAAAAAAAAAAAAAAAAACATACTCCCCTCGAATGAATACCCCTTTCAGACCCTCATTTGGAATTATTTTCAGTATACCGTGAGCAGTGGCGTAGGTTCTGAGGGGTCCTGGTTCGAGAGTACCGTCGGGGCCCTTGACGCCTACAAATGAGCAATTACTACTGTTACTGAAGTATATACTATACCATCCACCACCGAACTCATGAAAACGAGTATTGTACAATTTATTATTTTTCATATAAATGATCTGCCGGGCACCATCCTGGATCTTAGTCTACGGGGCAGGAATATTGATTACTATGTATTATAGTATACCGATCGTATTTTTACTAAATTCTACAGATTAGCCTATGTTCCCATCGAACATTATTATTTCAGAGTCTCGTTTGGGGAACAGATACGGTAATAGTTATGAAAGTAAAAGTACCAATATGTAACTATGATCATTTCATCACCGCAATACAATCAAATCTACAGAAGAAAATAAACTACAGTAAATCTTAATCATCTTTCGAAAATTGGAGTAAAAGACTCTGGTACGATTTTATCTTGTCAAATAAATTTGGATTGAGACATTAACAACTTGATTTTCTCGCTATGGAGCTAGATGTATATCACTTGAATTGTATTTAGTTTTTAAATGAATCATTAAGTCTCATGTAATGTGTTTGTTTTTGGTAGGTCTTTACCGATTACTTTTATAAGCAGTTTTAATTATTTGTCAATTATTGGCAAATAAACGAAAGATCGATCGATAAATAGACATAGGGTCCTGGGCATAATTAATTATTTTATAAAGTTAAGTCATTAACAATTTTGAATTATAAAGTTCTATATTATTTATAAAGATAAATAGGCCTATTATTAATCAATGTCTAGGCCCTATGCATTGTTTTATTAGATTTTTTAAGTTGCGGGCCGGTTCCACTACTGCTATAGGCATCTGAGTGATTATTGTTAACAATTTTAAATTATAATGTGCAGTATTGTAAGATAAATTCTAACAATCTAAATTTAATTTATGCATTCTTTATTAGATTTTTTTTATATAAATGGTTGGTGGGGGAGGCGGGGGCCTGTATAGATCTGGGGCCCTGGAGGTTGGGGCCCAGAGGCTCAACCTGCTGAGCCTGTGGTTATGAGTTAAACGCCACTGACCATACGTATCCATTTTACACCAAAACACTAAACTCCTCCCTCGAATAAACTCCTCCTCAAACACCCTTCTTAACAATAAACACCCCGTTTTTGTTTTCAAAAGTTTTGTTTTGTTAATGGACTTAACTGGTGGTATTGTAATTGTGATAGGCCAGCAATATTGATTTGATAGTACAGTATACTACCTTTACTTGAGGGCTGAACTTTGTGGAATCCTTGAACCATCAATGTAATTCTGTTTTGTTTATAGAATGGCTGATTTGATTTTTTCCTTATACATGTGATTCATTTTGCTGGTAGCATATAGGCCTAGGCCTATTATTCTTACAATCATGTAAATGCAACCGTTTTTTAAAGCATTAAGCCGGGCACTCAATCATCATCATCTATACTCCAAGTATCGAAATGCACGCCATCGTGTCGAGATTCAATATTTCAACATTAATTATGTCATCATCAGCTGATGACCCGCACCCTCCTACCCCCTCCCCCACTAAATTGTATTAAGAAAAATAATTGTTGTATTGTATTGTTGTATGGTATGAGTATGAGAGTGCAATGCGGGCACCTAGAGGGTCGTGGATCAGACCTCTTCGCACCGTTCGCCAATGCAATATAAATTGATTGCCTGGTGGTCTGGCGAATTCTAACTCTTTCTGTTAGAAATACCACCTACCTAAACCAAAGACAAAAAAAAGTACAGACAAAATAAACTTTTTGCATTGTCTAAGTATTAATCAAAGAGGGACTGTAATTAAATCGGCTGCGCGATAACGTACGGCACTGTTGAGTTCTTTTATTATTATTGTGATTTCTGTCACAATGTATGGTTAATACAAAATCAATCACAGGGAGGATAGGCACATGTGCTTTGATTCTAATCACAATATTGAAAAATCGTATATATTTTAATTATATTTTGTTCCAAAATTACACCAAAGCGAAAACATATTATTTTAATTATTACTTTTTGATTAACGAATTATTATTTCATTATTTTAACGAATGCTACGGTATTCGTTAAAAAAAAGGGAAAAAGTCTTCAATGGATTTGGTAGCCTAATTGTAGACCATAGAGCTTAAAACGTACTAACACACTTAGATACAGTACATAAAAAGAAAGTCAAAAATGACCATCGAGCACAGAGACACTGAAAATAACCACAAAATCTGAAGGAGAGCAACGACGTGAATGGTATGTATAAATTTTAAATCATACAGTGTTGGAAGTGGACAAAGAATTAACAAAAAAAAATACTGAGAAATTGAGAAGATATCTAATAAGCGTATAATACTATATTAATTGGCAGGTAAAATGAAAAGTTTCCAGGCCCGTATATCCAGCAGGTGGGGTGTTACGAAGAGTGTGTTTAACGCACCCAACCAAATTTGATTTCCAAGACAGTCGAGAATGTAATTTGCAATTTTCTGTGATTTAAAAATAAAATCTAAATTCTTTTTACATTTTAACCAGTAGGTCTAATCTACTCAGTCTGTCGTGATTCGAAAAAACGCAATTTATTCAATTTTGAAATTTTGGCTTAGGGACACCCTGTGGATAATCTACCATGTAACGTGATACTCTAAACAATTTTTCGAAATATGAAATTATTATGAGAGTTACGCATTACACCCGACCGTCCAACCACTTAGCATTGAAATGTTGGCAATCAACCAATAAAAGAAGACATTTATGCATATTTAATTAATTTCCCAGCTGGTGGCGGTACAATAAAAATGCATTATTATTTTTCCTGAAGTTAAAACTTGAAAGTTGTGGTCATAAAATTAATTTTAGAACCGCATTATTAACAAGATTATTAGGTTAATCTTTCCACGTCGGCGCGTGCACTAAAAAAAGTATGTGCATAATGATTTTGATAAACAATCTGTACTCTATTAAACATTTAAAGAATGGACTTCCTTATGTTGTGGTCAAATTAGACTGTAATATTTTTAAAGAAGACCATTCAACAAACAACAGAAAACAAAATTCCCACGTCGGTGCAGGCATAAAACGTATAATTTCTAGAAATTTGGATATAGAGCGGACTTCCTTATGATTTAGGACTAAGGAAATATAAATGTATATGGGTCTGAACTTTGTAGGTGACAAAGTGTTCTTCCTTATGTTGTGGTCATATTAGAAGATGGCTCCAACAATATTGTGAACTGGGTGTGGTGGGGCGTTGCGCGCTAAAATCTCTCGGAATCCTCCCAGCAATGGACGCGATACCCGAAAACTATGACATTTTAGGTGTTTCAAATGCTTTTTTCATCGATTTTATTGTAGAGTCTATTAATTATGTAAAAAAAAATGTTTTTCTTTCTACCTGAAGTGGGAGTGCGAGCTCCCGACGGGGGGAGGCATGCAAGGATCCCGTTGGCGCCACCCCTTCACTGATCAAGAAGAATCAAAATACAATCTTACATGGGCAGTCGGATCAGTCGAAAAGAATTCGGGGCTTCAGTTCGCGGAACTGTTGTTTTGATTGGCCGAATTACCTTAATTCTGGTTTTCCACTTCCTTTGATCATCCGTTCTCAGATTCAAAATCCGAAGGAATGATCAATCTCGAAACGAAACCGTCCAGCAGTTCTTTATTCCATGCTTTAAAACGAGGTGAGACATCGCTAATTCAATTTAATTCAATTCAAAAATACATTTATTTTTTTCAATACCAGAATACCAGGGGCGGATCCAGGGGGAATTCCCCCTCCCCCACCAAATAAAAGGAAGAGAAGAAAGAAAAAGAGAAAATATCATATAGTCCTATTTATTACTACAGTACTTCAGTTGGTGTTGATTTTTGTTGATTACGCTGGCGCGCATCAACAAGGCTCGTGGTGAACATATGGTCAATAATGATGAATAAAAGTACAATCTTTTGGTATAGTTACCGTACATTGGTATTTGCGAATTTTATTTATGAGTATATAATCAATTAATGCCAACATAATATCCAACATAATAATATATAATAATATCACACCTACAACATTCATTAGAGTCATTCGGCAGAAAACGTGTTTACGAATTACCTGAATACCTTCCTATGTAAAATTATTCTTCCACGTCAGTCTTCATGTAGGTCATTTTCTCATTTTCTTTCATCCATTTTCACATGATGAGCTTCATCCACAATTCCACATGCAGACAGAGATATGCATGTAAACATAATATAAAAGGTAAAACATGAGTCAAATTTAATATTTCATTTAGATAATAGTTGCCACCTTACACATGAGAAGTGGAACTGAAGCTTGTACGCGCGCATAATATGGCAAGATGAACGAATCTAGAATAATCCATGCCGTCTAACTGATTTAACATTTTAGAGCTAGCTTTGTGTGCACCATGAAGGTCACTAACAAATTACTGTATTGCGAACCTCTTATCTTGAATGTTTATAAACATAAGTGAAAGGCGAAGAAGTTGAAGGGCAGAGGTTATCACTAATGGACCATGCTGCGGTTCCTACGTTACAAGTGCTCTTAACACTCTCGACCGTACTCGCAATACAAGTTCGTGTGTGGCACGCTAAAAAAACTAGCGTTGAGTGAATCACGCCAGCAGGTGAGAAGCTAGCCGCCACGCGTTGGACTGACTCAACCGAACAACTATCAATCTTTTTATATTCATTCAGCCCCAACCAAAAACATATTGGAATTGAGTTTGAGATGGGTTTTGTCACTTCAATTCTGGTATTCCCCTTCCCCACCTCTAGGCCCTTGTTTTTGTACAATTAAAAATAAACAAAAAAAAAACAAAAAAAAAAACTACCGGTATTTGATCTTACTGAATTCGGAAAAAAAAAAAAAAAAAAAAAAAAAAAAAATACTTCATGGCCGAGAGAGCTATTTTTCGGCCATTTAAGTTGCATCCCCTGCATTTTTTTTTATCTCAGCCCAGCCCGTCCCCTGGGGGAAGGGGAGGGTGTAGACACTCTTGGTACTCGGCCTTTCCTTCTATTATTGAAGGAAAACATACTATATTATGGAGAATTTATGGTCTTTTGAAAACGCTTTAAAAAAAAATGACATAGGCCCTACGGTATCAAATAAAGACACTTAAAATGCGAATGTCCGGACATTTAGCGTTTGCTACATCCTTAATTTTTCCCACCATGGTTGGAGCTGACACCTGGTACTCACCACTCCCTATCCCCACCCCGAACAATTCCACAAAAAACCAATTAGCTCTACTTAAAATCAAATCTTTATGTCAAATTAGAACATTTTAAAATAATATTTTAAATGTCTGAGAATAATGCTATACACTTTTGTTTTATATGAACGCATTTTATAAGAACACTGAGACTGAGTTTACTTTAAAGATAGGAACAAAATAAGAAAAAGTCAGGGTTAAAGAAAATTTAAAACCAGCACAAAATCATTTTGGTCTTATCTGTACTTTATGTGCATGGCTACCGTCCGTACACTCTATAATACAGTACAGTAATATATTGCTACAATCTTTGAAAAAATAAAATTTTATGTATTTAGTTTGAACACTAGCCTTAGATGACACTTAAAAAAAAAATGTGTCTGAGAGAGTTTTTTTCTTGAGTAGCAACATCCTTCTTTTTTTTCAACTCACTTATGTCACTGGGGTGTGATAGGGATTTTGGATGCCACGGATAACCATTTAAAGAAGGCCGAACATTTGGGAGCGGTTACAAGCATACGATCTAACAAATAGCTGCTATGGCCTATTGTCCCCAGAATGTATCAGAACATGACCATATTCACTGGAAGTATAGGCCGAGTAGAGTGTTGCATGTTGAGTTTGACCTATTTTTAGGTCACACAGTTGGATAGATAGAATGTTGACATTGTTGGAGGGCACTCTTCAAATGGTCTGACTGAAGTCTATTTTTTTGTGCGTAATAGGCCTATAACAGTGTTCTTAACTCAAGTTTTTGCTCTTTCTTAGATAAGCGGAGTCTAAATCATTCTGTAGACACTATGCTGGCCCAAGTAATCTGTAAGAAGTGAGCTTTTGTTGAGCCACATCTGTTGTTGAGCAAAGATTGATGTTCATGTATTAAATCAGTCGGTAAGCTGTTAAAACTAGTCTTTCACTCATCTTGTCGTCCCGCATCATTGTAAATGTGAAAGTTCTTTGACCACTAAATGAATATGTGTTGAACACTCACTCAAGATGAAGGAATGGTTTCTGAGGCATTTTGTTTTTCAATGTTGGGGTAATAAAGTGAAACGCATGCATGCTTCTCATTATTGGTACAATAGAAGTACCCATCTCAAATATTTTAATAACATCATCATTCTAAATTAAATTTCAGAATTTAGTTCCAAAAATTAGTACACATATAAGTTCACTGATTGGCTGACAGCATATACTAATTCTGTTGTCTTATTGGACGAACGATTGTTACGTCATATCCACTTTTTTTTTTATCCCTTTACGCAAACGATGTTGCGTGGGACTTAGCTGTCAGTGATTCTACTGGGTGTCCGTGTTACATAGCTCTCAGTGATCCTATTGTGGGTCTCCATGTTTAAAACCTTCTCAGAGACTAATGGTTTTTATCTTTATCTTCTTTTTAGCTCATTTGAATTTGATTTAACTGATGATAACAACCGTGGATCATTCGATTTTAACGATAGCTGTTGCTCAAGTTGGTCGTCTGCAAGGTGGATTATTCCTGCAGCCATTAAATATGCTTGTAATCTAAACCAATTCCAATAATGGTTTGAAAGGTTCTATTCTGATTGTTCTTTACAAGAAAGATTCTACAAAGTACCGGATTACGTAATACCAAGCCTGTATTTATAACTTCATAAAACGTTTCACTTCGACGTATCGTGGCCAGCTTATCGTCTGCCCGGAATTTACCCATACAAAATTACACGCCAAAACTTTTTATCGGCGGCGAGTGTAATATCACTCTTTTGAACTGAAATTTTGCACGTACACATCAAGGGACAATGGCGATATTAAGTTTTTCTGTTTTTGTTTTAGTACTTAGTGGCTGTTTCTGCACATGCGCGAATGCGAATAGGTAAGTAAATCTATTTTTGGCCTTGACATTAACATGTCATTTGACACCGGGGAAACTTTAGCGTGTCAATATTTGACAAGATGTTAATATTTTTAATTTAAAAGTTAAATCGATATTTAAAATTAATTTAATGGCTTTATGCTTCTTGATATTATTACTTATTACCATTATAGCCTAATAGTTGAAAATCACGTTTTATGAAATGTAAACACATATCGTGGTGTTTTCACTTATTGATGGTTAAGCTGTTCCCGTGTAGCTAGAGTGTGAATTTATCTACTGTAACCTCTAGCATCCGCTTGAGTCAATTCACTTTAGATTTTTCTTGTACCGAAGGAAGCCGTTAATACAAATCAGTCACCAAGGAATTTGTACTTATCCCAAGGCTGAAGACTTGATGTTTTGCATTGTTTCAATACGTTCAGTGGGGTGTAATAAACTCAGTGAAATTGCTACAATGTCAATGATATATTATTATTATTATTATTATTATTATTATTATTATTATTATTATTATTATTATTATTATTAGTGTGTTTTAATGAACATAATATTGTTTTTTTGTAAGTGGTTTCAGACAACGAATACCAATATATAATTTCTGAAAATAATGGTTATATCGTATTGATCTCTGGTATATGCAGTGCATCGAAAACTAGCACTGTTCAACACGCATGTGCAATCATTGCGAAAGATCAGTTGCTTTCAATTGCATTCGAATTCACAACGCATCCACTTGGCTCAGTTGATTAAGGCGGCTGCATAGACAGCAGAAGGTCCCGGTTCGAATCCTGGGGCAAAATTATTTCACATTTGCAGTTCTCTTCTTTAAGTTTAATGCCTACATATACATGTATAGAAGTCTATATACAACACATAAAAAATGTAAAGTAGCCCTCGCTCGCGCAACATATAGACCAAAAAAAAAAGCAGAAAAGCTTGCGAACTCTTCCCATTTTATATGACATACTAGATTTTTACTACTTGCCCCCCGACCCCCTTAGTTTCTTCAACAGATTCCAATCCTAGCTAAACCTTGTGTTGACAAGATGACTGTTTACATTATACATCATAGACTTACAACTAAATAAACTGATTCCCCTGTCATTATTTCCGCTACTTAATTTGATTAGAATATTTGTGCCAATGCAAATTTGTATCTGAAGTGTAAACTACAGGAAATATCCATTAAGTGTAGACGGTCATTATTGATACACATTCGTTTGGTTTACTCGTGTTGTATCCATGTACTCCAATCTATTAGTCGGTATTATAACTAAGTTTCAAATCCAACATCTGTTTTCGAAAAAAATCCCTCCAAAATGCATGTGGACTAACGCCAGTGTGCGTCGACGAATTCGATGAAGACACAAACATTGTTTTGTTATTGTTTCAATTATTTATTGTATCATTTTAGGCAGTTGTCCAGAGAGTAGTAACAAACATGCCTAATGTTTTAAATGAAGTACACAATTCAGATGTTTTTAAATATTATTTTTAATTTTTTATGCATGTTCAGAGGATATTTTGTTACGTGTCCATCTACTTTGCGATCCACTGCGTTGGAATCGATTAGCGTTACAATATTCCATCCATCTGAACCTGTTTTAGTAAATGTGTCACTTATTCACGACGGGAAGGAAGTTTCATCATCACAGAAAGAAATTTTAGGTAAGTAATTTTCTAACCTAAAGGTGTATTACCGTCCACAGAATTATGAATGTACAGATTCGAACGAGAACAAATTATTTGAATATTTTACTAAGCGTATTAATCAATCAGGATTGTTAAGAAGAGAAGAATAATTTAAACCATCAATGTGTAAAACTGATATGATTTAAGGAATAGGTCATGATAGGGGTCATAACGGTAAGGTTATGTGTATTTTCAATGTAATTCACCCATGAAAGTATGACGTATTTCACCTCTATATGTAGTAACATAAATTATAGTTATATAAGGTCTACGGGGTGGTTAAAAATAGGTGCACGAAGGTGTCAATAAATCAAAATACATATCAGCTAGATGTTATAAGGTTTTCACAGCATGCAGATCAATGCAACTACTTATAATAATAGTAAATTTTGATATTTTCAAATGTAGACCAACTTAAGTTACTTAAAAAATAATCGATAATAATTTTTTTTAACACCCAGCATATCTGCAAATTTCAATTTGTGAATAGAGTTTCGTGAAACATTTGGCAGGATTTGTAGGCCTACCTGGGCCGGGCTTTCATCGGCTTGAAAGCCCGGCGTATTAACCAACGTTTCCCGAACTTCAGGCTTTATAATTCGGCTGTATAACTCTCAGATAATCGTCGGCCCAATTCCGCTCCTTTCTCTTCAGATTCTTTTCAATTTTTTTTCAAAAACAGCCCTGAGTTGTTAAATTTCAATGTTGATGTTTGTTATATTTACATTTTTTTTGTTTTTTGTTTTTTGTTTTTTACAGGAAAAGGTACTATAGAGTTTAAGGTAAGTTTTGTTTGGAAACAAATGTAAACTATTTTTGACTCATGTCATAACGGCCGGGCCGGTGCTCTAAGGCAGGATCCCTGGGTGTTACATGTTTCTAGTACTCACTTCCTCTATACCATTTCCCAGCATTCATCTTAATGTGACCCAACACTTTCTCGTCTAGGGGCCTCTTGGTTACCAAGCAAAATTCAACACGAGAGAAAGGTAATGTTGTGGTGTGGTTTATTCAATGGTTGACCTATTTTAAAAATTCAAACTGGTATATGGGGAAAACACAGTTACGTTTCGAACATGGTAGTTCATGATTTTAGCCCCTGCACCATCATTTTTTACACCTTACCGTCACATATCTATGTGGTTCTCTCACTCGTGAAAGTTGCAGAGTGGATAATGTATTGCAATTCTAGTTGGAATCATTGTAGGAATTATAGATGTTTCGCGTTGTGCACGATGATAAGAGTTGTTCATGAACTGTCAGTAAATCCCTATATTTCAGTTACCCATGGTAACATGGCCTAACATACAAATATGACGATAAGGATATAGGCCTATAGAAAAACGGTGTTAAGAATGTTAAGATACACTAAAAGTCGTAGTGTACTAATCGTCCATTAAATTGTGTTACTTTGTCGCTTTTACATACCGTGATTGAAATGAAATATCTTATTTCTTATATTTCACGACATATGTTTGTTTTAACGGACTAGAAATACCTCTGGTGTTGAAACAATTAGGAATTGATCCAGATGTTTCGCATTGTGCAGATGGTAAGACTGGTTCGTGAACTGTCTGATCCAGTGTTCCAATTTTTGTAGCCCTACCCATCTTACCAACGTCGTATGATAATTTGTTATCTATCTATGTCATGTAATTTCCACCTTCCATAAACATAACAATGAATTCTAAGAAGGTTAAAATATTTAGAAAAAAAATAAGATCGTTTAAACGCACCGAGCTCATAAACCGCTCATTGATTTAGGTTAGACGCATAAATATTGTGAATAGGAGGGAATATCTTGTAATATTTCATGCCATATGTTTGTTTAAAGACAACCTTAATGTGACATTACTACTTCGCTGATCGAGCTAGCGTAAACCGTCCACTTACCCGAAGACTTTCACTCCAGTGAACAGTTTGTTTCACAATTTTACATTCTTGATTTATCAAAGTGGTTTGTGGATATACTGCATTCCACGATCGGGGTTTATTTAGAAAAAAAGAAGTTGAAGGTAGTTCAGGTCGGCGCCTCGGGTTCAACAGCATTAACGAGGAACGTGAGGACCATCGTATGATTACAAGGGCGTGTTGCTTATGATCCTGTTCCTGTACATATATAAAATACTCCCTAAATCCCATGACAAATAATACTTGACATATTGTTAATAATAATAATAATAATAATAATAATAATAATAATAATAATAATAATAATAATAATATTTTATAGTATTGATGTACTAATAATGATAATGGTATAATGGTAATAATAATGATGATGACGATGGGGATGATCATAATGATGATGATTATGGGGATGATGAAGATGATGATGATAATGATAATAAGAATAATAGGCCTAATAGGCCTAATGATAATACTTATAATTATTATATTTTATTAAAAAAATATGCCACCGAATTCAAACCGTAGTTCGATCAACTCAACAGTGATTATGCACGATGGTCTGCTTGCACATGAAACCGATTTAAACCATAAGCATTTTTGAAGCGTAAAATAGCTCAGGAATTTCCAACAAAAACATTAAACAAAATCATTTACAATAGTTCGAGGTATTACAAACGTGAACTGGTGTTGCATGTTCAACAATGGCGGCCTCTAATTTATGCCATTATTGTTTTGTTTATAAATTACTTAAATAGCGTTATTGTTTTTATTGAAAACCCCCCAAAAAATTACATAAGGCCTGCAAAATATCTTATTTAGCGATTATTTGCTAAAGTAAGCTACACCAAAGCCGCCCGTGTAGCTTATTATATTATGGATTCACACGAACAAACAGTACAAAGCGAAAAACAAAAGGGAATAAGTAAATTGTGAACCACATGGTATTTGAAAATCGTTAAGCTTAAACTAGGCCTGTCAATACTTTTTTTTTTTTAAATAAACGAACAACAATTCTGGGCTACATACGTGAACACCCTCCACCCCACCCCTCGAATAATCAGTCTAACTACAGCTAGCACTGTTTTTTATAAGGCATAGAGGCCTGCAAAATATCTTGTCGATGCAGTGCACTATACGCGATTATTCGCTAAAGGAAACTACACCAAAGCCACCCGTGTAGCTCCTGTATGATTATGGATTCACATCAACGAACAGTACAAAACGAAAAACAAAAGGGAATCATTAAACTGAACCACATGGTATTTGAAAATCGTAAAGCTTAAACTGGGCCTGTCAATACTTTTTTTTAAAATAAACGAACCACAATTCTGGGTTACATAGGCCTATGTGAACATCCTCCACCCCACCCCTCGAATAATCGGTCTAACTGCCACACTGTTTTTTGATACACAGTAAGAATATCTGCATATAAGTGAGTCTGATTTCAAACAACTTATTTTCAGGTTCCGAAACTTCCACGAGGTGAAGCTGTCTTAAAAGTTTGTGGAAACTGTATCCCTGGTAACCCTAAAGGATATACGTTTTTCAATACAAGTTTAGTACGTATTGAAGAAAAGGGATCATCGGTTTTTCTTCAAACTGACAGACCAATTTATAAGCCCGGACAAACAGGTTAGTGTGATCAAGGGTTTAAAAAACGTAAGTTGATACCCGGTCGCAGGGTGACAGTAGATTTTCTTACTTTGACTCCCGATCCCAGGTATGGCCGGCTTTTGTTTACCATTCATGATGGATGAGTTACAAATATACTGTATACCAGAAATCAACGAAAACCTAAAAATTATAATGTGAAATGCTCATTAAACAGAATAACATAAGTTATGAACTTCCAATAAGATACAGGTTTAAAAAAATAGTGACAGTGGTTTTGTCACAGAGTGACTACAAAAATGGTATACTGTAATTCACTTAAATTATAACACCATAAAACCTCGAATTGAAGCCCTGGGCTTCTTCTTTTGCGAACTTTGGATATGGGCTTCTTTTCGAGGCTACTCTTGCAAAGTGAAGAGGGGGGCCTCTTTTCAAAATTAATGCTGTAAATTTTGGGAATTAATACTTTAAAACAGTAAATGGCCATTGTAACATCGATCTGTGTCATGGAGTGTATTTACTGACATTAAATAACCTAAACTACTGTATAAACCAAGCATGTTTTTAATTTTGTTTGTTTCCTTGAAATTCATGTACAGTTTATGTACTGAACTACCGTAAAACCTGTTGAAGCCATGGGCTTTTTTTTTTGCAAACTTTGGATGGGCTTCTTTTCGAGATGGACTCTTTTCGAGATGGACTTCTTTTTGAGATGGAATTCTTTTCAAGGCTACTTTTGCAAAAGTAAAGAGGGGGGTTCTTTTCAAAAATGAATGTTGTAAATTTTTGAGAATTAGTACTATAAAACATTAAATAGGGCCACTGTAACATCAATCACTATCCTGTGTAACCGGCATTAAATCACTTAAACTACTATATAAACCAAGTGTGTTTTTAATTTATTTTGTTTTTTTGAAATGCATGTACAGTGTATGTACTGTACTATTTCGAAAAGAAGCCTATGCTATTTTAAAAAAGAAGCCCATGGGCTTCTTTTCGAAATGGGTTTCTTTTCAAGGCTAATTTTGCAAACTAAAGAGGGGGGCTTCAATTCGAGATCGGCTTCTTCTCGAGATTTACCCATTAGGCTTCAATTCGAGGTTTTGCGGTATCTAAAAAAAAGTCAATGCTATCTGATGGGCTTCTTTTAGCGGCTACTTTTGCAAACTTAAGTGGTGGCTTCAATTCGAAATGGGCTTCTTTTCGAGATTAAGCCAATTAAGGCTTCTATTCGAAGTTTGCAGTGGTATGAAGCTTGGTTAAAGTTTTAATAGTTCATACGCGATAGGTGGCGTCTTCCAGTGAGGCTGGAAGAAGAGGGAAGATTAGAATTCCATGCTATGACCATAGAGAAAGTCTATGCTCTGACAAACCCCAGTAGTAGAGGTGTTTAAACATTTAGGGCTAATCTTGGCCTTGCCTAAGCATAAACCAAAAAGAGCAGGTATTTTTTTTGCTAACCAAAAATTAAAGAGCATGCAGTTTAGGTAGGCCCAGATTAGCTTACATACTACACTACTAACTAGGCCTAGGCCTAGCCTAACTACAGTATTAGTAGTAGTAGTAGTAGGCCTAGTTACTAGTATTAGTACAGTGGGCCAGGCCTGTAGGCTGTAGCTAGCACTGTGGTTGTAGGCCTGTCTAGGCTACGCCTAGGCTAGGTAGGGCCAGAAGTAGTAGCCCCCACCCTCTCTTAATGAGGCTGTCCATAGTTCTGTTATAGCCTAGCCCTTCTAGGCCTAGGCCATATTGTACTCATTAGGCCGACATTGGATATATAGGTCTAGAGACCAATCGGTGCACTGTCACTGAGAAAGTGCGCAGAACAAGAGGGCGCAATAGTCATCCATTTAGAGGCCTAGGTCTAGAGGTCTAGACCTAGGTCTAGGCCTACAACCACTGCATTCCGCCACAACAAATCAGCAATTACCTTTTATTTTATACAGTAATATAATTATTATAAGTCAACAGTTTTGTTTTAAATTTATCATATTTTTTAGGCTTTCATGCCCCTATTTCTTCCGAATTATGGAAATCTTCGATGAATATACTTCTTCTTCTTGTCGTGTCCACTTTCGTGGTGGTAGGATCAGTTGAAAACAGGGCCGCGACGAGAACGCTTCTACCATGGCCCAGACGAATATACTGACCTCAGTAGAGAAATGAAATTACTAGCCGTCTAAAAACAAACGTGAAATTCAGATATATTTGATTTAATTAATATAAAAATAACACTAAAAAGAAAAAATCGACGTTTCGACTACTTCATGGTGTCATTTTCAAGATCAAATGATGAAGTATATATACAGCAACTATAATCAATAGAAAAAAGCTAATCTACAATGTCTAAAGTTCATAACAGTGGGATATTAATGCCTGTGATTTAACAATTAAAATACTGCAACAAAACGCAGAAGCTTTTATTTATTTTACTTTCTTGTACACTTGACTTTTCACTACTGGGAACTGCAAGAAAAAAGAACATTGTTTTTGAATTACTACACAGATAACAGATTATTAATTGTTATTTAAAACATGATGGATCACAGGATGTTAGCCCATAAATTAATTATTATTAGTCTTTTATGCATTTTAAATTATGACGTTTACTCTTTTAATTTTGTTTGGTTTCATGTTTTTTAATTAATTAATTAATAATAATAATAATAATTAATGTTTAATAATTGTCTTTGCTAGGTATGTTTATTTTGTAAAAAATAAATAAGGTCTTCCCTCCATGCATGGGACGAATGAGCAGTGTGAGTGAAATAAATATTACGTAGTCATAGAAAAAAAATATGTAAAAGTAGTTATTATTATTGTAATTGTTTTATAAATTGCTGTTTAGCGTGGATTTTTGTGTGCCTCGCATGACTCGCACTGTTGGTACAAGTCCCGCATGAAAATTACCTTCACCGCTCGCATGAATTGCATGCCTCGCTGGAAGACTCGCTGGCTTTTACTTTGGCAACCCTCTGCATTTTAGTTCCATCCCTGGCATGCCATTGCACAGCGCCTAGGATACGTTATGACTTCAACCTAATACACTCTTTTGTTTGGTTAAAAATATGCTGGATAGTTCCATTTAGAAAAAGGTGGAATCTCCATTCAGAAAAAAAGGTTTTCCATAAAATATCAAATATCAAGAATCTATGTTAGGTATATTATAAAACAAATAATGAATGTTTACGAGTGCAATGGGAAGAATATTTTTATGAGTTCAAAGATTGACTGTTGCATTCAACTTGGCTCTGCCTCGTTGTGTGGAAAAGCCAGTCTTTCAACTTGGGAAAATATTCTTCCCAATGCTCTCAAAAATATTCATTATTTGTATACTGTACTATACAATGTTCATAGTTTTAATGGTTTTTACTTTATTCTGTTCTCAGTGCTTATTCGTGCCTTCTTGGTGGATCCAAATTTGAAACCAAAAGATGTTGAGGTGAGTAGCACCATTAATTATTTTCAACTTGTTGGTTTTTAAGTTAACCCATACAAATAAAAAATAATTTTTTAGAGGCTATAGGTGCGTTCGGGCGAGTTTTTTTAGAGTCTAACACGGTATAAATCCGGAAACGGCCATTTCCAGTTCTCGCCCAAACGGGTGTTAAATGCGGACTGCCTGCTGATATCCAACGCTGCAAGTTGCATTGTTTTTGGTGAGCAAAAGCAGCATGTGTTCGCAGCAGGGAGCATTTTTTATCACTTAATCCCTTTTGATTGTTTTACCACATGCCAGAAGTAAAGTCTGTTTCAATGTTCATGGTCTCTGCTTCTTTTACATTTTAATATTTCCAAAAACAAAACTGAAAAGCTCGATAAAATAAATTTTTCAAAGGAGGACTAGCCTACAATCCAGATTGTTACCCTATTACATACATCCGCCACATGCGATCGTGGTACCACTGCTTACTTGTTTAACAATGGTAGTAATTTTCTGTTTTATAATACAGTACTACCATTGCCAAACAAATGAAAGTTTACTCTGGGTTTATACACCCAAAATGCACATCTGCGATTTATTGGGAGTTTTCAATGCAGGCCCTATGCTTTATGAAGCTTATTGTTGTAGTTTCTTCGGTCATTTCATTACTTGATTTTCGAACAACAACATTATGCAGTGTGCCAACGCCAATGTCCGTTTCTTAAAGCGTGGAGTGATGCAAGGGTCCAGGGAAACTTGATAAAACTCATCATTTGCATAATACTGTACCTTAGGTCTTACGTCAGAGGTTAATGGTTTTTTGAAAGCCGAGTTCTGCATGAACCGGTAGACCACCCGCCGATACAATACCGGTAAAAACCCTCTGTAAATTTTTACCGTTCTCGTCTGAACACACCCTATGTCAGTGGTTCCCAAACTGGGGTCTGCTTTACCCCTTTAGGGGTCTGTGAAAAATAATTGGGAGTCGGCAGTTGTTCTCGAAAAAATTTTCATAATTACCTATCTTTCTTGTCCTACAACAGTGTGATAATCATCTTACTACTTATTAGGTGCCTTATCAACATTGAAAAATACCTTTGGCATAGAAGGCATAGAATAAGGGCCCTACATTTTACAAAATTCAAAATAAATAGGAATAAAAAGAAAATAAATTTTGAGTCTGACATTTCCAGTCATTCATAGAAGTGTCACTCACATAAAAATTTCATCCTTGGGCTGAGGTGGTAATGACCCACTATCTATAAAATTGACTGTCCATCATCCTCTAACTATAATTTTGACTTTTAATATCTCCTGAGGGGTGAGCGAATGCAAAAAGTTGGGGACCACTGGACTTGATTATTTTACAAAAATTGCTATATTGTTTTATATACTGTAAGTATAATTTTGTATTACTATGTGAGGCATGTCGTAGCGAAATGGTCAAGTTGTTGCACAGGCCAGTATTGAGTAAATAAGCTAGAAAATATGGGAGCTCAAAAAATTGCCTAAAAATCTAAATTTGTTTTTCACTATAAATCAACAGTTTAATGTCTTATTAATCATGTACCAAAGTATTAGTTCTGGAAGTGGTCAACGACTTGTTTATTTAACATTATTTTGATAGTTCATTCTATTAAAAAATGTATGCACAAATAACCTTGAAAGGCAATTACTCAAAATCATGTTTATCTTGATTCTAAGAGTACTGTACTTTCACTTTCCAACAACTTATGCTTGAAATGTCCAATTTCAATGAATGACCCCTCATTTTAAAGATAAAATTCTCAGATATCTGAAAATACCAATAACTTGAATTTCAATTTTTGCTACAACTTAGCCATTTTGCCACAACATGCCTCATGTTACATGAAATTTTTACTATGTAACATATTAGAATAATTGAATATTGAATGTGTATTCTAAAAATGAGTAACTTATTTTGAGAGTCATCCAGTGTGGATCTATTCCCTTCATCCCAGGGGGTTGACCAACTCAAATCAAATCATATCTATATTTTTAAAGTGGATTATACAGAATTGAATACATCATTGATAATACAGTTATGTCACAGCTAATACTTTCCTCCTCCACTGCCTGGGGTGCTTCATTAAATTGTTGAATTTGATGTACAAGGTCAATTGTCATATTTTAATGCACATTCAACAATGGGTGGTCTACCACTAAATGGAAGTCAAATAAGCAAATTGTACCTTACTATATTAATATCAAGGTGATTGAATTTTTAAATTGAGAAACAGAATTTTTTGTTATCAGTGGTTATGTTTTGATTGTAAAGTCATTATTGCTAAGGTATGTTTTAATATCCATGGCATTCATCCAAAATGTTTGATTTCCATGGGTGTTAGTTCATAATGTTTATTTTTTATCATTGACATGATTTACATAACTAAGATAACATGAATGAATAGAAAGTATTTTGACATGTATTATAATAAATATTGAATCTGTATCAAGTTTAAATGTTGGAGGGGTACAGTGGCGTATCTAGGATTATTGATGTGGTCGAAGTAGGGGAGGGGGTCGGTAAATGAGAAACTGAGGTGGTGGTAGTTAGGAAAAACAGGCAATATGGTGTGATTCTTCAATGCTTGTCATATTTTAATCAGCAAGTTT